TTCGAACTCGAGACTTTTCGGTTTAGCAACCATGAGCTTTACATTTACCGACTCGACCACGTCGTCCACTTTGTAAAAAGCATTGATCACCACGTATTTATGACTGGTGGAAAACATTGCTTTAAGTACTCAAAATTTTCAAAGGCATACATCATGATGACACTGATACTGACACAGAGTGCACCTTCCCCCACCCCCCCCCCATTTTAGGGGGGAAAAACTGCTGCTTAACAGTGAAAACGGCAGATTAGACAAAAACGAAACAAGATACAATTATGCCAGATTTTTAAAATGTAAAACTAACAGGCATATAGTGAACACCATTCATAAGAAAACAATACTTGCAAATGGTATCGAAAAAACTGGTAAAAAAAATTAACTAACTAGTGTAAGGCAGCACTTAGTCAGATGTAAACAGCGTTAGATAAATAAAATATTTTGGTGCCAACCAACGTATGCTAACATCGAGAAATAGGTCCAATGAACATTCATGTTTGAGAAACACATGTTTAAAAAGAAGTATACCCGCAATCGACTAGCCAATTAATATACACGAGCTGACCCGTGACGTAACATACGCCGCTATTCAGTTGTTTTATTTTCTACGAGCTGACCTGCGACGTCAGGGGCGGAACTACAGTGCCGCCAGACCCCGCAATGCGGGGGGGGGGGGGGGGGGCTACGCCATTTAGGGGCCCAAAGCCGACCATAATAATTTTTTTATAGTTAAAAAAATAATTTTCTGCAGTTTTGAATTGATGGTTGTTTAGTAAAAAGATTACAGTAGCTGCGGTTGGATTATCTTTATTCTATAGACACCATCCCACGCTTTTGAATATTCTTTTTCCCTTTGTTTTTAAACCACTGTGAAAGTTGAGTCCTCTTTCTCCTACAAACTTATCAAAGATAAGCAAACGTTCAAATTACTTCCATGACTTATTTCCCTTTATTTAAATAGTCAAATAGGGGTGCTCATAAGCTCAATTTAATAGATTTGTACTAAACAAATTAAAAAGCAATTACTTCTCTTAATTATTATTTTTTTATAAAGTACTTACTAAAGAATGAAATTGTATAAAAAGGAAATGTATTTAAAATTAATAATATAAATACAAAATAACATACAAATAAACATAACACGAGACACCATTTCTTATATAAAGCTTTCATAGCTTATATATTTTTGACCGAAAGAATGCTAAGACGTTTTTATAGCAGAGAAAATATAACTGATTTTCACAAAACACACAATGCACTTACACTTACACAAAAAAAAAAAAAAAAAACAATGCACTTACACAAATGACATTATGTTGTAATTTGTTTTAATTGAAGTTTTTTTCCCAAACCCCCCATATATATATATATATATATATATATATATATATATATATATATATATATATAGATGGGGGGGCCCCTACATTTTTTTTTGCGGGGTGGCCCTTTTTTCTAGTTCCGCCACTGCGTAGCATATGCCCGAAGAGATGCCTGGAAGAAACACAGCGTAAGGTCACGGTCAAGCACATACGTCGCAACTCAACACATCAATGCAGAAACAGAAACAAATGAAAGGTCATCAAGGGCAGACAAACGTACTCCTAACGCATAGTCGCTTTCAGTCATGACTGGTGAATGAAAGCATCAGTGATACTTAGCCGTTCGACCCTCATAAGTAACAGACCTCTAACTGACAGATACATACCTAGTTTGCTCATAAGGACCATGATTTATAAATGAATAGATATGTTTATAGTTGTTTATAGTCCACTCGCGGATAACGTCTACTAGAATAAATTGGGAAACAGAAAAAAAATGATTTATACGTAATTGTTCCAAATTAAAAAAAAACTTTTTTAGCAACAAACTTTTAAAATGCACTGAAAATAAGTAAATAAAACTAGCTTTCAATTCATACAAGCTTTGGTTGCTAAAAAATATTTAAAAGATCTCATGATAGCGTTTTATGTACGAACGCTAGTTTTATTTACTTATTTTCAGAGAATTTAAAAGTTTGTTGCTATAAAGTTTATATATATATATATATATATATATATATATATATATATATATATATATATATATATATATATATATATATATACATATATATATATATATAATATAATATATATATATATATATATATATATATATATATATATATATATTGTTTTGTTTACCGGATCAGATTTACTTAAATTAAGAGTTGCTTAGTAATCCAAACAGCAATTATTCCCACCACCCCCCCCCCTCATTCCGTCATCATTTTTTTTACCGCCCATATTCAATCATCTTGTATTTCATACTGCTCATTCAACCATCATGTACTTACTACACGTAATCAAGGCCTTAGTCATGGTCAATGACCATAACCCTGCCCCCCCCCCCCCCCCCCACAGCACGGCAGATTAAAAAAAAATATCGTAAGCTCTGATAACATCATCTTTGGCATGTTTTCAAACAGTGTGGCAAATTTCTAGTTATAGATCTAGTTCTAGTTGGAATGTACCCTTTCTCTTTCATTATAGTAACTCTCTGTCAAATATTTTGTGGTGTGTCGAGGAGTAGGGGTGTGCGATGGGTGGGGATTCAGGCGTACGTGTGATAAAAAAAAGTAAATATCAATGTAATCATCTCTTTCCGTCAAGCCTCAACTCACCATCCAAAGCAGTTTAACTAAATTCACCTCTGTTTTTTTACACGGTGAATTCAACTCAGCTTTATTTTTTACACAGTGAATTCAACTCAGCTTTATTGACTTGGTATGAAAGTGTCTCAACTTAGTCAAGGTAATCCAGAGGCTTAGCGACGGGGCGAAGCGGGGAGGGAGGCGGGGCGGGGAAGTGGGGGGGGGGGGGGGGGGGGAAGAAAGGTGGGAAGGTGGGAGGGGAGGAGGGGGTACATATGTCCCTGGGCGCCGGCCCTAGGCGCGCCAAAATAAGCTCATTTTAGCTGCTATTTTAAATTGTAAATATTATAAAATATATGGGGGGGGGGGGGGGGGGGGGCAAATTGAAAGTTTGTTCCCGGGCGCCGGGAGGGGTCGCTACGCTTCTGAGGTAGTCATGCGTAGACGTTGACCGTATTGTAGCTAATTTATAATTTTGTTGAAAGACTGACGTTAATCTATATGTAAAAAGCAATGCAGAGTTTCTTCCAGGCCTCTCTTCGGAGGGGGGGGGGGGGAGGCCCCCACCCCCCAAAAAAAAATTCTACCGCCCCCCCCCCCCGAACGAAATGAAATTTATATAATTTATATTGAAAATATATACTTTTAACAGTGTCCGCCCCCCCCCCCCCCCCGAAGAAAGTCTACCGCTCCCCCCCCCCCTCCGAAAATTTAAGTGCCCCCCCCCCCCCCCCCGGAGAAAACAGGTCTGGAAGAAACACTGAAGCAATTTATGTGTGTGTGTTTGTCTGCCTTTCTGTTTGTTTTTAGGCATTACTATACTTTTCATCCAATCACCATGAAACTTTCGAAAGTTTCTAAGGATACTCTTGGAGAGGTATCTGCGAAAATGTTTTAAATTTTCGCAGGGGTGGCGCCCCAACATGACGCGATTTGATTCTTTTCTATATACAGTATATAAAAAATAAAAAGTCGATTGCTTTTCTTCAAAAAATCTTTTTTTTTAAATTTCTCTAGGGCGGCACTCGGCGAGTGTGCGCTTTTTCTCTGTATACGGTATATACAAATAAAAATTGGATGCGGTTCGAGACCGGTCATCCGAGTGCCATAAAACTTTGGAGGGTTGATGTGAATAAAACTGAAAATGGTTCTGCGAAAAAAAAAAATTTATTATGGGCAGAGCCAGGGAGGGTGCAATTTTTTTAAATACACTGTTAGGCGCTCAGAGATACATAGTATCCGTTAATTGGACATCCTGCATAGCGGATAAGAGGTACTACTATATTCAGCGTTAAAACAAGCGCAGCCGCCAGTGCCCCGGCTATTGCGTGACCTTAAGCACCGCGGGCTCCTCTGTGAGCACTATGGCGCCTACATTCGTTTAAAAAAAGACTACACGCTAAAGACACGATGGGCAAAAATAGCCGTTGACTATATTGAATCAGTGCGTCCTCTGGGCGCCCCTACAGGGTGTGATTTGACGCCCTGGGCTTTCCCGTTAGCAAAATGACGTCTACGTTCGTTCTAAACAGTGCGGTAGACAATGAATAAGATGGGACGTTATAGTCGCTCACTAAATTGAATCAGGCGCGTTTGTTTTAAAGAGCACCCTATAATATTGACACGGTGGCAGATGACATTCGTTGATTAAACCGAGCCAGGGACCTTACGCGGCGCCCTGAGGTAGTGTAACTTGGGTTCAGGAGAGCGCCCTACTACGTAGCTGACGCATTGGCGGTCGCCCAGATTTAGAAAAAAGATCACTTGTCTTAGAATATACGATATATATATATATATATATATATATATATATATATATATATATATATATATATATATATATGTATATATATATATATATATATATACACACACACACACACACATATATATATATATATATATATATATATATATATATATATATATATATATATATATATATATATAGGGAAACATATTTGAAACTTATACAGTGTCATAGTGAGCATGTGTTGAGAGTTATTGTTTGCGAAGGTTTGTTGCCTGTTGGTAAAGGTAGAAACTGTTACACTATTGTCAATCTGTAAATACACTTCAATTTTCGTGCATCGGCTATGGAAGTGTAAGATCTGAAACGCTTTATTTTTTGCGGAATTAAATTGTTTAAGTGATTAGACTACACTTCAGATCCGATTCCACTATACAGACTAAAAATGGTGTTCCTGCTTGGGAAAGCACATAAAGGAATAAGTATAATTACCAACATACCGGTAAAAATATTTTATAAATAAACAATGTAGACAATAAAACGTACACTATTTGGCAACTTGATTTAGCAAGCAATATTGAAAAAAAAGCCTGGCCAAGTTCATATAAATACAACGAGCCAAACCGGAAAAATTAGCTTAGGCCTATTACAATGGATTGCGCTAAAAATCTAGTAAGTTTTTCCGTTTTTGATAATTCTAGATACCGGTGTCCGATAATGGAATCTTCTTTTAAAAAAGGGGTGTTGGGTTGTTAGAAATGAGGGTTAGGCGTATGGTAGGACCAGGGTTGGGGTTAGGGTTAGGGACAGGATTAGCATTGACATTAACCAGCCATGTGTGTATTTACTATTAAGCCATGTGTATTTAGTTAACTACCAGTAACCTAACATCCGTTTTTACTTTCTCGTATATACGTAGTATAGAGAAAGTATTGTAATCGTGCAAAAAAAAAAAATCGAGATTTTTACAAATCTCGACGTTTTACACCTCACTGATACGGAAAAACATAATTTTGCAATCTTGTCCGTATGTCTGTGTGTGTGTGTGTGTGTCTGTCCGTGTGTGTGTCTGTCCGTGTGTAAACACGATAACTTGAGTACCGTTACAGCTAGGTTGATGAAATTTCATATATAAGTATTTAATCAAAATCGTAGATCCGTATCAACTTTTGAGCGATTTCCGATAACTGGAAGTGGTACTTTTCCTACTTTGAATTTTTCAAAAGCCTATAACTTGAGTACTATTTCAGATAGATAAATGAAATTTCATACGTAAGTAAAAGATCTAATTCTCTACCTTCTATTAAATTTTGAGTCATTTCCGTTGACTGGAAGTAGTACTTTACGCTACTTCCGATTTCTCAAAAAACTAATGTAAATTTTAAAAGTAATAATAATATTGCGCACTATTATGCGCTTTTTTATTTCGCGTTCACTTGGTGTGCAATTAATTTGTCTACGAGATTCTATTCTATTTTTAAAACTTTAAGTATTTAAAATGGATTAAAAATCATGTCTGTAGCCCGAGTTCCCATCCCCTGTTGTTTTATATAAGAATATTCGAGAAAGTTTAGGGGAGATCACTCCCGGTTTATTTTAAAGAAGATTCCGTTCCATTTTTTACAGAGGGGTCCATAGGGGGGGTTATACCTCTAACCTTTACCTTTATTTATAATACAGGAACCCCAGAAGTCAGATTTCAAATCTGAAATGTATGAAGACCCCCAGGCTACCGAGTGTACAGCTTCCGTAGCTGCAGCTCACAATGTTGTGCCTACTCTACAGCTTGTAAGTTTTTTTTCTATTGCCATTCGCGATGTGGGCCGTCAGTTTCTCAAGTTACTTAATAAATTTACCCCCCCCCCTTCTCGAAGTACATATTGTTGTGAATTGTCGCATGAGAGTATGTGTGTAGTAGAATGTGCTATATTAATAAAAGATGTTGAATGTGACGAGGCAAGTAAGGATGTGACGTGTGGGAGAATATTAAAAATTAGTCTGTCTTGTCGTGAGAGGGTATGGAAGTCTTCGTCATGGCTGTCGTCGTCCATGTAGTCGTGTCTATTGTATGCCATTAAAGATTAAATTTATGAAAGACCTTTTTATTTATAATACTGGAAAAAGCCATCGGGTTAGAAGATGCCAAAAAAAGAGGCACGTTTTTTTTCCCATTGCCAGTCGCGTTATTTCCGAATTTTTTAAAATTACCCCCCCCCTACCCAAGTACACAAGAATCCACTTTCAATCTCCTTTCACGTCGACCATTTCAATAACATGTACTGTGTAGATATTTTCGATGGGGGGGGGGGGGGGGGAGAGATATCGTATAAAACACTAATTGTTCCACAGCAGCTATCCGCAGTGGCGTAGCCAGGATCGTCTCATGGGGGGGGGGGGGGTTCAAATTTTTACCCGGGGACAAACTTTCGATCTGCATCCCCTCAAACTTTTGATTTGTAACCCCCCCCCCCTCAAACTTTCGATTTGCACCCCCCTCAAACTTTCGATTTGCACCCCCCCCCCTCAAACTTTTGGTTTACACCCCCCCCCCCTCAAACTTTCGATTTACACCCTCCCTCATACTTTATATATGTACCGAGGGGTCTATGGGGGGTTATGACCCCCCCCACCTCCCAACCCCACCCCTCCCTGCCTACGCCACTGGCTATCCGTGCACTTTGGTTTTTGGTGCAACATACTTACGCACATACATTTTGACTCAACTTCAAGTTTTCCAAGTCCAAGCCGTCTATAGTCAGGTAAGCAGTTTTATTTATTACATATTTTTAGCACGTTAAAATATTCTATCGAATCTTGAATCTTGAGGTTCACGAAAGCTAGTGTTAAACCACGTGCATACACAAGGTCAACGATCGCATTCCTGCACGAGAGATTTTAAAACGTTCAGCATTGCGTCGCAACAAACCAGTTGACGTTGAATTGACGTTTTAGGTTGTCAGTAGTTTGTTGTTTCATATTTAGTTTTATGGTCGGAAATTGGTGTCAGAGCTATGGTAGGACTTGGGTTAGAATGTGGGTTAAGAATAGGATTAACATTATCAAGTTATATTTGTATTTACTAAACTACCGGTAACCTAACGCCACCCCTTTTTAAGTAAGATTCTACGAGTTGATCCGCGCTGTAAAAATACGCCGCTATCTAGTTGTTTTATTTCTACCTATCAACAATTCATAATTTGTTAATTCGACACTACCACGCCCCCTGCCACCCCACCCCCGTCCAGTGAAAGCAGCCGCTTACAGACGTCAATGACAATAGCAAGCAGAACTTTTTATCTCCCCTTAGTTTCAAATAGTTTAAAAACTAAATTATCTGCCCCTAATAGCCGTCACTTATTCCAACTCTCTCTACGATTGTAAACTTTCGGGGTGAACCACAGCTCATCTGACAGGCGGGGGATGAGGTTGGTGGCTAAGCTGCGTGATGTTTTCTATGGTATCCATGAAGAGAATTATATATAAAGATGAATTCAACACTACCAATGCTGCGACTGAAAATATTTTGCTTCAAAACGCTATTAGTAGCTCGTGAAGGACGATTATTCCCCCCCCCCCTCCCGCCCTCTCGTGAAAGCAGCCGTCCGTGACGACGGTTTACATACGACAATGAAAAGATCTAGCAGAATTTGTTATTACCTCACCTTAGTTTAAATAGCTTACAAACCAAATTATCTGCCCCTAATAGCCGTCACCAATCCGACGGGCTCTATTCTTGTAAGCAGCTCACTAGACAGGTGGGGGGGGGGGGGGGTGGTAGCGATATGCCTAGAGAGCATACTGTACTACCACTCCACTCTAGCTTATAGGCCTACCGAAGAGCGTGTGAATTAGTTTCTTATTTCAAATGCAGGTTCCGTTTAAAAAGAAAATATTTGGAAATCCAAATAGTTCTGCTATAAATATTCAGTATATAATATAGATTGTGTCAAATCTTATAGTAATAGTAATTCCGACTATTAACTTCTATTATACATGTATTATGAGACAAATGCACACGTTTTATTTGCTACTGTTTATGCATTTCAATAGTTCACTTTAATCAGCATGACGAGATATATATTTTTTTCTTTTTTGTCAGGTATCATGTCATCTAAGAACTATATTTGAGGAAAAGATTTCCATGGAGTTTCTATCAGACGTTGATACAGCAGACAAAATTTGCTCTGAGTTGCAGGAGGATGAAACGGATGGTGTATCGACTTCATGATTCTGAATCGGATTTGATTGATGGTGATCAGAAGTGGTCAGTTTCCACTCTCTACCTTGACGAAAGGACATTTGATCTGTGATCATCTTGACATAAAGAACTTGCTGATATATTTGGCAACAGTGCTTCATCAAACCGAACTTTATATCGACTTGTCAAGCCTGGTGATCTTTTTTGAGCCTGCAGTGTTATTTCGGTTACCATCTCTTGTACCTAAGTGCTTTTAGTGTTTTTAAGTCAAAATGGCTAATCATGTGGTCCCATTTTTGCAATGAGACGGGTATGCCTACTTTAAAATTCTGTTAAAATCTTCATATCAATTATTTTTTCAAGATCAAGCATTTTTCAGCATTTAAGGCTCACTAACAGAATTCATTGCACAGATGAGAGCGAGATGCTTTTCAAAGGACACTCATCAATGAAACAGTAAAGTTTAATTAAGCAAATCCAAAGGGGCTACAAGATGTGGTACAGGGTGACATATTTGTACACAACTCCAAGTGCTGGGTGTGTGGGTATGAATGAAAATTGTTTTAAGGATTGAACGTTTCAAATTTTAAAAATTTGACTCTTTTTCCCCTGTATCCTTTTTTCTTCAATACGTGTGTCCTACATTCCCGTCGGTAATGTTCTACTGACATATATTCTCGTAGGTATTTATAAGTATGGCCTTCCATCGTACACGTGTAGCCGAAATCTATCCCATTGATTAATCACGGAGTAGGCCTATCCATTATTTAGATCTATATTCAATGGGTATAAATCTATTTCTCAACATTTTTGTAAATATGTCTTTACCTTTTGCTTTGTCCATAGCTAATGGAAAAGATTGAAAATCAAGAAAAATTGATTAAAAAAGTATGTATAACTAGATGTAAATATGTTTTAGCCTGTCATATATGTAGTTTATTCCAGGCATCTCTTGAAGCCCCCCCCCCCCCCCGAACGATATGAAATCTATATAATTTATATAGAAAATATATACTTTTAACAGTGTCCGCCGCCCCCTCCCGTAGAATGTCTACAGCCCCCCCCCCCCCACCCCGGAGAAAAAAGTCTGGAAGAAACACTGCATATATGCTATATAGATATAGATATATATGATATATATATATATATATATATATATATATATATATATATATATATATATATATATATATATATATATATATATATATATATATATATATATAGCACATAAACCACTCCCTTGCTTAAAGACGAAAAAAAAAAACAAGACAACTATTATAACAATATCTTACTGCATTCTTAGTTAAAGGAAAAAGTCGAAACAGCAAGCCATAATTGTCAGCTTGAAGAAGCAAGCCCGGGCAGCCAGAAAGCAGGAAAAAAAAATGTAAGACCTAGTATTACGTGACTAGCTTTTACGACTAATAGACATAAAACCTTAAGAGCGAAAAAAAAAAAACCAGACAATTATAACAATTTCTTACTGTATTCTTAGCTGGTAGGACCCCAACCTGGGCCAAGTTCCACAAGTCTAAGAAAAACGGTAATTTTTTAGCAAGAGCGATAGTTTTACGAAAAATGTTACGTGGTAAAGGAACCAGTTTAGTGCACGATTTATTATTTACTGTAGTTTATAAAATAATCACATTTTATTATTTAAGGAGGAAAATAAAAGAAAAAAAAGAAAACTTCGCAAGAGATTCGCAGAGACACATTTCCAGCCAAAGAAGACGCATGAAGAGCAAAAAACAAATAGCATGAATATTGAAGAAGGGGAAAACTCCGTTTCAGCTGTCGTAACCTTCGACAAGGAGCAACTGTCTGACCTTATATTAAGGTATGTATTGAAACCATCTACCTGCTACTACATCATGGGCATCGATATGTATGTGCGACTAAGTAAATTTCAAATTGTTTTGTTTTCCTTTCCAGGCTCACCAAAAAGTGAATAAAAAAGGGCTGTCGTCTGTGTACTACTCCCTTAATGCCAAGTAATTGTCATAGCCTGTTAATATATAAAACTAAATACACAGCGGTAACAAATCTTAGTTATTTCCCTGTACTGGTTATTTCCCTGCCTGACAACAGAACTTCATTAAAACTGAAAGATTTAAGCCTCCTACTCCTTCACACCTTTAACGAATTACACACCTTCAACACCTCGTACATTGTAATGGTACGAAAACCAGGAACAGACCCCCAAGGTCACAAAAATTACACACTAATTTCCCTTTTAAAACTACAAAATCTTAACTAAAATCCTGGTAGCCAAATAGAACAATTTTATTTTTATACATAAACGAGTACATAGACTAACTATGTAGCATTACAGGTAGGAATATTAACATTATTTCATGTTTATTTCCATTTTTTTCTATATCTCATTTTTGCCATTATTTTGGTTCATTTGATGTTTTATTTTTATTTAAGTTATTTGCGCTCATAGGGTGTGTACAAAAACCATTTACTCACCATGTAGTGATCAATGAAATATTTTACAGTTGTTTCTCTAGAGTTGAATAATTGAGATCTTTCAACCTTTATAGCTGAGGCTATTTTTTATTTTTTCTCAAATCATTTCATAACGCTTGTTGTCTTTCTTCACAAACTTTTCTGCTTCATGCACTTCCATTCAATTAAAGATAAAAACTGTCATGGATTAAATGTGGAAGTAATTAAATCTATGAAAGTAGACTTACTTCAAATTGTGACTGTAATTCAGAATGTGACCATGACAATGTAGTATTGTGATGTTTTTTGTGTTACTTTTCATCTAGAAATTGTTTCACTGCTCTGATTTAATGACAATCAAAAATTATAGTTTTGTATTTCATCTTTAGATATCCAGTTGCCTGTGACAAAATGCATAGGCATAGCCGAGGTCTATAGTTTGCTGCTAGAAAACTTTTTTTTAACTCAATAAAATATTACTTTTCTATTGTAGGATTAGTAAATATTTTAGTCATTTTTAAATAAACATTCATTTAAAATTACACTTTAAAAATTTAAATAATTATGCAATGTTCGTAGTTTTACTAGGAATTAGTTTTTAGTTCTAAAATTGGTTTTGTTTTGTTAAAACAAATAAGCTAGTTTTATTTAAACTAACAACTTTAAAACAAGTCTTATTTAAATGAGGGTAGCTTTTTTTTTTAATATTTACATGGAAATTCATATGTATTCTATTCAATATAAAGTATTATTTTCACTTGATAATTTACTAGCTGCAAAAGGTGCTTGAGAAGGGAATGGTTTGTGTGATGAGGATGTTATTAAATTTATAAAGTACTATTCAGACTGACATAAAGATATGTATGTTGTAACAGAATGCTTTGATATTTATAAAGTAGCTGTATGACTCAATGTTGTAAATACACATGTATACCATATGTATGCTACACTTTTTAAAGTTTACATATTGATACACTCATCTCTTCATCCAGCGTAACTGATAAAGTAGACATTGTCAAAATAAGTGTATTAAATTTACAAGCATTTGTATTAAAAGTTTTCATTTTGTACAATTATTTGTGGCAGTGTGGATGTGAGAAACCTTTAGGGGGTTGATTTGATTATTTAAAAAACACAATACACATTCACAAATTAGATTTGACAACTCATTGCTGTCCACACAAAATCAGTCTACAATTTCATGGTGTAAAAAGGGTAAGAAGTACTAAAATAAAGCAGTATCCTGTGGTTGTAGGGAAGAGCTACAACAAAATACATAAAATATATACAAAGATCACATCAGGTAATAAAAATGGACTATAAAGATTGTTTGAACAAGCAAATGTATTCAAAAAGAATTATATATGTATATCAACAACAAACTTAATAAGTAAATCTTTTACCAGTAATGAAAACATTACTCATAGAGCATAAAACACAAAAATTCAAATGCCATTGTATATATACACACAAGTGTAATAAACTTAAACTGACACCCTACAAATTATATGTTGCAACTACCAGGTACAAATCAGAATCTCATACAGCACATAATCTCAGAGGCGTAGCTAGGGGAGGGCGGCCGCCCCGGGCGCCGAGCCTAGGGGGGTGCCAAAAGGGGTAGAAAAAATAAATTAAAAGCTCATTTTAAGCTGCAGTTTTGAATTATTAACAGTCAAAGTAAAGAAATTTAACGGCTGAGAGCCTTTGCATACTGATTTAACTGTTTTCTACCTTGATTGTGTAACTGTAAAACATACATCTTTAAGAAACAGTAACAGGAAAAACAGCTTTCCAGCTTTCGTAGATGGGGAAGGGGGTGGGGGCGCTTTTTCGAAGACTAAAATCGGAAAAATTCACACCGGATTAAGGAATAAATAACAGATATCACTCAGAAAAGAAACCCATTGACCTAAAGCGTATTTTACGATTGTGTAACATAAAAATGAGTTAGTGACGTTTAAAATCCGCTATACCATTTTTGTCCAAGATGTCTGGGCGCTTTTTCACTAATAAAAAACGCAGGATTTGTACTGGATCGGTTGCTAGATAACTCTTTTCACACTTAGAAAAGAAATCAATTGTATTAACACTTAATGTACGATTTCACTACTCAGTTTTGCTAAGTAATAACGCAACTAGTTCTTTGTGCGATTCTTACGATTCTCTCAACTTGATCGTGAGAGATAAGATACTTTTACATGATTGCATTACATCTTGCCTGTATCACTGCATTAAAGAGAAATGAATATAACGGATTCTTGTATCGCCATCCGATCAGTAAAATAGCAGACTGTCGGAGCGGGTGGATGGGAAGCGACACTTTTTGCCAAAATTTTAAGAGAGAAGACAATTAATATATTGTACTGATTATTACTTTGTTCAACCTAACTGATAATTCAAAGTTGCAATATTGGCCTACTATTATCGAAATTGTTCTAAAGACACGACCAAAAGAAGACCAAATAAGGTTTGCACCTTCTACAAAATACACTCTAAACAGTGGTTCTTAACTTTTTGGAGTACCGAACCCCGTCAGTTTCATATGCGCAATCACCGAACCCTCCTTAATAGTTGTATCGTCCAAAATGACAAAATCTGATCGTGAATCCTATGAGTCGGGTGTATGTCTTAACCTCAACGGAAGCCCTGAGAATGAATTACCGAACCTCTCGGGTTCGATGGAGCCCACTGTTCTAAGCTCTTTAGATTTTCTAATTTATTCGTTTCGGCATTTTAAGGGGAATTTAATTGACGTCCAGTGAAGTTTTAGGGAACGACAATCAGCGTAATTGTTAATTTTTTTTCCAGACTGTCGCACACACACACACACACACACACATATCTAATATATAAAGCTCAGTTCTGTAACGTGTGGCAAAAAAAAAAGTTTGTCGTTGACACTTCTACGGATTTAAGTGTTAGATTTTTTATCGTGCTCAAAGTCTAAATTTACGAGTCAAAAAATTACCATTGAAAGTCTTTAAAAACAATTTTCATTCCATTTACTTAGAAGAATAATTTTCAATTATGAACACGACATAAAATTTTTAAAAAGTGTATCGACGTTTATAAAATTTCTAAAATTGTGTCGGAAATGTATTGACTGCAAAGTTACTTCCCTTTAATGAAAAATAAATCCTTATAAGAAGAGAGAATTAACATTTTATTACTTTGTTTTTGGTGTTAAGAAAAAAAAAATAATTACACAATTAGCGGGGATTGATTAAGTGCAATGTCGTTAGGTATTTTTAACACTGCCTTTTATTTATTCTATACACTGAACATACTGTTCAATAATTATTATTTTTTTTTAAAAATCAATAACATTTAATAAGCCAGGTCCTACAAATCATATACGTTTATTTCTTTCCATTTACGGATAAGCTTGGAGTATTATCATTTTTGTTCACTAAATTGAAACAGGCGTGTCCGCCGGCGCCCCTGCACGGTTTGATTTGGCACCCTGGGCTATCATGTGAGCGCTATAATATGCTGCATAATTTTGTTTTAAACAGTGCGATAGACTATGGATAAGAAAGGTTACTATAGTCTTTAAGTGAATCAAATCCGGGCGTCCTCCGGCACCCCGACAGGGTGCTATTTGGCGCCCCGGGCCTTCCGGTGTACGCTATGGTATCTACGTTCGCGTGAGTTCAAAAGACTATAAATAAGTTATGCACTATAGGCGTTTACTAAGTTCAATCAGGCGGTGACGTCATGGTGCGTCCTCTGGCGGCCCAACCAGGGTGCTATTTGGGGTCCCGGGCCTCCCGTGTTCGGTTTCGCGCCTACGTTCATTAAAGTGAGTGCAAAAGACTATGAATAAGTTGGGGTACTATAGTCGTTTATTAAGTTGAAGTAGGCGATTCAGCCCCGTGAGCACTTTGCGTTTATATTCGCGTTAGTGTTTTCTTTGTGTTTAGGTTGGGTTTGCGTTAGTGGTTGCGTTTTGATTTGGTTCGTTTTTGTTCTTTCTTTTTTCGTTTTCGTTTGTGTTTTATTTTCATTGGGTTTGTGTTTGTATTTGTGTTTGAGGTTGGTTTTGCGATTGGATTTGGTTTGTTTTCGTTTGTTTTTTCTTTTGTGTTTTTTTTCTTTGGGTTTGTGGTTGGTTTTGCGTTTGGATTTGGTTTGTTTTCGTTTGTTTTTTCTTTTGTGTTTTTTTTCTTTGGGTTTGTGGTTGGTTTTGCGTTTGTATTTGGTTTGTTTTCGTTTGCTTTTTCGTTTGTTTTTTTTCTTTGGGTTTGTGTTTGTGTTTGTGGTTGGTTTTGTGTTTGGATTTGGTTTGTTTTCGTTTGCTTTTTTCTTTGTGTTCGTATTGGTGTTTGTGGTTGTGGTTGGTTTGTTGTAAGTTTTTGTTTTCGTTTGTATTTGTAATTGTGTTAGCGTTATGTTTGCGTTTTGTTGTTTTGGTTTTGGTTGGTTGTGGTTTGGGTGGGCAATGCCGGGTTTATGATGATTACTAAACACACAGGTGATGGTCTTTAACAGAAGGGTTTTTCACAGAAGCCAGAGCAGGGCCTGGCCGGGACGGCTAGTCTAATATATAAAGCTCAGTTCTGTATGTGACAAGTTTGTCGTTGGCATTTCTACGGATTTAAGTGTTAGATCAATTATCGTGCGCAGTTGTCTAAATTTATGAGTTAAAAAATTACTATCGAACTACATTAAAAACAATTTTCATTCCATGTACTTGGAAGAATAAATTTCAATTATGTGCATGACATAAAATTTTTAAAAAGTGTATCGACGTTTATAAAATTTCTAAAATTGTGTCGGAGATGTATTGACTGCACAGTTACTTCCCTTTAAAAAAAAATCATTAAGAAGAAAGAATTTACTTTTTATTATTACTTTGTTTTGGTGTTAAGAAAAAAAAAATAATTACATAATTAGCGGGGATTGATTAAGTGCAATCTCGTTAGGTATTTTTAACACTGCCTTTTATTTATTCTATACACTGTTGAATAATTATTTTTTTAAAAATCAATAACATTTAATGAGCCAGGTCCTACGAATCCTATATGTTTATTTCTTTCCATTTACGGATAAGCTTGGAGTATTATCATTTTCGTTCACTACTTTGAAACAGGCGCGTCCGCCGGCGCCCCTGCACGGTTCGATTTGGCACCCTGGGCTATCATGTGAGCGCTATGCTGCATAATTTTTGTTTTGAACAGTGCGATAGACTATGGATAAGAAAGGTTACTATAGTCTTTAAGTGAATCAAATCCGGGCGTCCTCCGGCACCCCGACAGGGTGCTATTTGGCGCCCGGGGCCTTCCGGTGTACGCTAGGGTATCTACGTTCGCGTGAGTTCAAAAGACTATCGATAAGTTATGTACTATAGTCGTTTACTAAGTTCAATCAGGCGGTGACGTCATGGTGCGTCCTCTGGCGCCCAGACAGGGTGCTATTTAGGGTCCCGGGCCTCCCGTGTTCGGTTTCGCGCCTACGTTCATTAAAGTGAGTGCAAAAGACTATGAATAAGTTGGGGTACTATAGTCGTTTATTAAGCTGAAGCAGGCGATTCAGCCCCGTGAGCACTTTGCGTTTATGTTCGCGTTAGTGTTTTCTTTGTGT